ATGATCATTTTTTTGGCATCTTATGTCTCTTCGGTGGCATTTATCTGGTAAATTATGTGCTGATGAACTCGGCTGCTAATGTATTCCACAGTTCTGGCTTTGTCTTGCTGACTTTTCAGGATGCATTGTCATTAGTGGAACAGGTATTCTGTTTTCACATAACCTATTGGTTGTGATGGCTTCCAAAATTCTGGCCTAAGTACTTTTGGGATTCCATGCATTTTTCTATATGCGTATACTTATAAATTTCATTCTCAAAATGATTAAAACAGGCATTTAGGAATGCAGTATTGCCTTCAGCCTTTCTTCTGGTTTTGTTCTTATCTAATCAAATCACAGCATCAACCTGGAATCTTGGTGGACAAGTAGTCCTACATGACTTTCTTGGACTTGACATTCCTGCTTGGCTGCATTCTGCAACAATCAGAGTCGTAGCAATGGTTCCAGCTCTTTATTGTGTGTGGACTTCGGGAGCTGAAGGCATATATCAGTTGCTTATCTTCATGCAGGTTATGGTAGGACTGGTGCTTCCCTCTTCTGTGATCCCCTTGTTTAGGATTGCCTCATCAAGATCAATTATGGGTGTCTACAAAATCCCTCCTTTTATGGAGTTCTTAGCTCTGATAACTTTCACAGGATTGTTGGGTTTAAAGGTTATTTTCATGGTTGAAATGATTTTTGGGGATAGTGACTGGGTTGGCGATTTGAGATGGAACACTGGGATTAGCTCATCTGTCTCTTTTGTTGTTCTTCTCATTGCTGCTTGTTCATCATTTTCTTTGATGCTATGGTTACTAGCCACTCCCCTAAAGTCTGCAAGTTCCCGAGTTGATGCTTTTGGACAGAGCTGGGAGGAATCGGCAGATGTGGAGGAAGATGATTTGACTGTCACTAGATACCATAGAGAGGAACCGGTTCAGAATCAGGAAGCATTGTTAACAACAAATAGGTCTGCTGAAAGTCATTCAGATATATCCAATGTGAATTTTGATCCAAATTTGCCTGAGAGTATCATGGAGTCTGAGCAGGAAATCAGTTTGATTACCATTGATGAGAACTCTTCTAGTATTACGTCTAGCCCCTTGGTTGGTAATAGAGAAGAAGCAGCATCTTTGGCAGGGTCAGCTCCAAGTATGGGCAATGAAGTGGGACATGATAATTTGCCAAGCACCAGGACTGTGGAAATTGAATCAGTCATCCCTGTGGAAAAAATGGTGAGTTTAGATGGAAATCTGCAGGCTGAAAGAGATGACGAGGGGGATACCTGGGAGCCTGAAGAACCATCCAAAGCCGCTCCTGAGAGCACTCATTCTGCAATGCCAGATGGTACTCCTTCTTTTAGGAGTCTCAGTGGGAAAGGTGATGAAGGTGGAAATAGCACTGGGAGTCTCTCAAAGTTAGCAGGTTTGGGGCGTGCGGCAAGGCGCCAGTTAGCTGCATTTCTTGATGAGTTTTGGGGACAGTTGTATGATTTCCATGGACAACCTACCCAGGAAGCGAAGGCTAAGAAACTGGATGCCTTATTGGGAGTTGAGTCTAAGCCTACACAACCATTACTAAAAGTAGATACTACTGGGAAGGAATGTAGTGGGCATTTTTCTTCTGGTGTGGGAAGAGGATCCGAATTGACAATAAGTTCAACTCATTATGACTCGACTAAGCAGTCAAGAGTGCCAAATAGTATTGATACTCCATATGGGTTTCAAAGGGGATCTTTGTGGTCAAACGACATGCGGTTTTTGGATGCTAATGAAAGGCGGTACTCAAGCTTACGTGCTGTGCCATCTTCTGATGCTGGTGAGAGGCGGTACTCGAGCTTACATGCTGTACCATCTTCTGATGCTAGTGAGAGGCGTTACTCGAGCTTACATGCTGT